ATATGCCTAACCCAAGCCATGGTATTTTCAGTAGCCTCATACAAATGTGAAAGCTGGACAATGAATAAGGAAGACCACAGAAGAACTTATGTCTCTGAATGTGCTATTGGCAAAGAATACTGACAATACCTTGGACTTCCAGAAGAATGAACAAATCTGTCCTGGAAGAAGTACAGACAGAATGCTCTTTTAGAAGTGAGAATGGCCAGATATTTCCCACCTATTTTGGTCATGTTGTCAGAGGAACCAGTCCTTGGAGAAAGATACTGTGCTTGGTGAAGTGTAGGGTCCCCCACTCATCTGTCAGTTTGTTGTACTTCAGTGGCTTGAATGTTTCTGTGAGGATGGAAGCTAATACCAGCAGAGTCACCTATGGTGGACACGTTTCAGCACAGCTTCCAGATTGAGACAGACTGGGAAGAAAGAAGGGGCCATCCATGTATCAAAGAACTGGCCAGTGAAAACCTTATGAATAGCAGTGAAACACTGTCTGATATATTACTGGAAAACTTTATGAGGAGCTCTGAAACATTGTCTGATCAGTGTCAGAAAATGAGCCCCTCAGGTTGGAAGGCGCTCAAAATACGACTGGAGAAGAGCTGCCTCCTTGGAGTCAGTTCTCTATCTCTTAGACACTGGCTTAGACTTCTTAGTAGTAAATGTTGACCAAGTAAATAGCGAAGAAAGAGATCTAGATTGTTTAAAAAGAATTTCATAGATTTTTTTTTTTAACTAGCAACTAGTAAGCAATTTCGGTTTTTGAGTCTCATTAAAATGATTTTATTTGACATGTTTTTAAAAGAAAACAGAGATGAGACTCAGACGACCAGCATTCTAATTTTATCTTTTCTTCTGTGTGCCCTGAGTATCATTTAACGTAATGAGCTTCAGTTTCTTCTAGAAAATAAGATTATTAGATCATCCGAAAAAGAGATCATCAGGACTATTTTTTCCAACATCGGTCTAAGGCTGTTTGTTAACTTACTAAGTTATGCATATGAAAGTATTTTTAAGGCATAAAAACAAAATCTTACATGGTTATTTAACAAGTAACTTGAATGGAAACAGTTAAACTCACATTATTATTAGGAATTATCTCAGAAAATCTAGAATATAGTCCTCTATGGTTCTTCCTCTCTAAATTCCTACATATTATATATTTTTATCTGTTTAAAATGTGTAGATTTTAATGGGAATACCATAATGCAGAAATTCTGTTTTGAATCACTTTCCTATTTGGTATGTTTCTTAATACAGTCTATATTATGAAGTTTATTTGCTTAGTAATTTATAAAAATGATATGGTTTGGGAGAGACATACTCAAAACAATTTTTTCCAACTCATTTAGAAGATAGAATGAAGAGTTGGTTTATCTGAATAACCTGTTTATGGTTATTTTATGATGATGGTGTTCAGTTGATATTAACAGGATGAAAAAAGACAAGTAAGTACTTGGTTTTTATTTTTATATGCTTTGTTGGTTTTGCTTGTGCACATTTGCACATTGTTTAGAATTTTCAGTTGTAACAATGTATCTTGGTACTGTCAGTGATATTTATTATTTACTCACTCTAGGGTCATGATCAGAGTTCAACTCTTGCTCAACACTCTATTGAACTGACTTTACCTAACCATCATCCATTCCATCGAGATTTGCTGCGATATGCCAAGCTAATGGAATGGCTAAAGAATACAGATTATGGAAAATATGAGGGACTAACAAAGGTATGGACTTGACAAAAATGACTCACTGAGTATAGAGCATAGCCTTTGAAACAAGAAAGCATGTGTTCAATTCCCCAAGTGACATTTGAAATACTGTCATGCCTTTTTTCCAAAAGCAGAAAATTATTCAATTTCTGAGTGCTCATTAACCAGTGATAACATTTATTTTATTACTTGGATAAGGAAGAGCTAAATATTGAGCTTCAGTATAAAATACTATAAGTTAAATGCTGTAATTATTTCCTAAGTTTCTTTGTATGTAGTGTACAAACTAGAAACTATAAGGAGTATGAAGATGGTTGAATGATGTATTTGCCCCCTAAGAATTTACAGTCTCTTCTATTAAGCAAGTACTAAGTGCCTCTTTAAGGGTTCTGGTAGTGTAGTGTCTAAGGCACTTGACTCCTAACCAGAAGGCTGGCATTTCAAACCCACCAGCCACTCCTCAGAAGGAAGGTTGGGCAATCTACTTCCACAGTGATACTGCCTCGGAAACCCAAGGAGGGGTCGCTATGAGTCGGATGGCACATAACAACAAGTGATTCTTTATTAACCAAGCATTCAGCTATTCCAGGCCTCCAGCCTCTATGTCTAATGAGCTTTAAGTCTACCTGGGAAGAATAGTCATACATAAAACAGTCAGTCAAAAATGAAGTGCTAAACTGGAAAAGAGTTTAAATATATGGCAGTTTAGAAAAGGGAAAAATCACTGTTCTGAAGCCATTGGGGAAGACTTTATGGAAGATATTGGACTTGAAACAACAGATGGTTTTAAATAAGCCGGAAATAAGAGGCAGAGCATTGCAGAGGTGGAGAGTAAGATGTCCAAATAAGGGCAGGAAAAATAGATGCCATTTTCTTAGGACAGTGAAGGGATATAAGCCTGACAGAAGCAGAAATTTCACATTCTGCATGCTGAAAAATGATGTTGAACAAGATGAGCCATGGCCCTAACAGCATCTCTCAAACAGGGAAAGACTAGATGGGGAAATTAATTAAGTACCTGATGTAATAATTCAGATGAAATGAAGTCTTGAACCAGGCACATTTTGTAGGAATTGAGAGAGAACATAAATCGAAACAGAGCCTCCAGAAGCAGAAGGAGCCTGATGATGCCAAGAGGGCTACCATTACTTGCCTTTTTAGAGTGCACATTCTAGTGGAGAAGGCAGGCAGAACGTTAATTATGTAGAGTTTTAGAAGGTGCTAAGTGCTATGGAGAAAATAAAGCAAGGAAGGAGGGAAATGCTGGGACTGGAGGCAGGTTCCATTTTCAAATAAGGATGGTAAGAGAAGGTGTCAAGGAAAGGTGACTTTTGAGCACAGATTTAAAAGATCAGAGGGTGGAAGTAATGTGGGTTTTGGGGAGAAAACATTCCGGACATGGCACAGTGCCCTAAGGCAAGAGCGTGCTAAGTATGTTTGAAGAGCAGCGAGGAGGCCAGTGTGGTTGGAACACAGTGAGCTAGGGGCAGAGCCATGGAAGAGCAGATCAGCAACTTAAGGGGTGGGACAGGGCAGGGCAAATAGGGAGGCCCTGTGGACCTTGGATTTGGCTTTTACAGTAAGTCAGATGGGGAGGCTTTGAGCAATGGATCTTTGATTTAATAAATGACCATTGTGGTAGGAAGCACTAAGTATGATACTTTACCAGCAATTGTGCTGGGACCTTTATTTACTATAGGAATCGGCCATGGCACCTTTTTTAAAAAATGGAGTAAAGAATTGCCATCTATCTAACTCAGACATAGCTGATAGTATTTTGGATATTCCTGGTTAAAGAGCAGTATAATTAAAATTCTTAAGTTTACTGGGAAACATTTAAAATCTTTTATTTGTAAGTTGTTATGATTTTGGAGTTTAAGAATAGAAATCCAAGTAATGAATAAACCATTTTAATAATTAGTAATAATTGAATTATGTAGGCAGAAGGACCCTAAAAGATGTTCTTGAATTTGAAAGACCGATATATTTTCTCACTGTGGAGTGAGACTATTGGGATTGTTAACGGAAAGGCTCTTCCCCTACACCCATGTGCTTGTGACCAAAAATATCCTAATTGGGAATTGGATAACAAAATCTTCTCATTTTTTGCTAGTTTTGCTAGTATTTGTGTAGTTTTATTCAGAGAGAGACACTTTCTTCATTCTCTTAAGGATTGTTTTTTTATACATGAACCCATTTTATCTTTATTCTAAATAAAATAATTATTACAACTCCTTTCAAGCATCTTAGGTGCAGGTTTCAGGTGAAGGCAGAAGGGTTAGGTAGGAATTTATGAGAGGGGTGATGGCAAGAAAAGGCCAGATTCTGCCTTCCTAACCATGCTGTAATGTCAGTGTATTTACCAATAGGACATTCTTAAATATCCCTGTCTTTCTGGATTTTCTCTTTGAAGTGCCTTTGCTCATTTAAAGTAAAATTTGACTCCCTCTACTAGTACACTGAGATCTTAGGAAGGGAGACATAAACTTTGGCAAAATATATATTATTTAAAATAATGTTGTTGTTGTTGTATGCCATCAAGTCGGACCCGACTCATAGCGACCCCTCCTTGGGTTTCTGAGGCAGTATCACTACGGAAGTAGATTGCCCCATCTTCCTTCCAAGGAGTGGCTGGTGGGTTTGAACTGCCAGCCTTCTGGTTAGCAGTCAAGTGCCTTAGCCGCTATGCTACCAGAGCTCCCATTTAAAATAATAGTAAGTTTAAAATATTAATATAAAAATTATAATTAAAATGCTTTCAAAAAGGGTGTTCATCCCCTGAGATATTTATGTGCGTAATACCTGGCTAACTATTTGAGGTAAGATTCTTTTATTTCTTAAAATCAGTCTTTTAAGTGATATACAGCTTTACTGTTATATTTTGTTTTGTTTTGTTTTGTTTTCATTCAACAATTCTGATTTGGAGATATCTTAAGGAAAATATTTACATTACTGGAATTCTTTGCCTTTTGAAGTTTAGGAGCATTAATATTTTGAATAATTAAACATAAATTATGTCTCCTTAAGAGTTTTGTGCCAACAAGTGCTTTATCCCCTAGTGAATATTCAAATAAGTAATCAATAAGCTTTTTGTCTAATTGTGTTCTCAGTGAGTATTATGGCCCCATCTTTATATATAATGCAGTATTCATGAATGTAATTTCAAGTGAAGAAACAAGACAACAGCCAACCTAGAGATAATTTATGGAGTCATTCTGTGCTAAGTATATTTTGATTGACAAAGATCTTTTCTATGAAATTGACATTTCCCAGGAATGTTGCTGGATCCTGTGGTTTGAACTATTGACAAATATTTTATACTTCATAGTCTCATTTGGTTGTTAAAATGGCAAAAACAGGAACTTTTTTCTTTAAAAAAGAATAAAAGATGAAAACAAACCAGTGTTTCTTTAGTAACAAATAATAATTAAATCCAGGTAACTATTTGTAGCTTGATTGGGTGTACACAGCTCATAAGTCTTGGCAGGAACAGGAAAAGCCATCCTTCTCCAGATTTCCAAATTCTTTAGGGATAAGAATCAGTAGTCATGGCTCCAGCCGTATCTAAGCAAAGCCCTGATTTTGGGTATGCATAATTAGGGCTTGTGGAAAATAGGGATACACTGATCATATAGCTCAACTACCCAGATATCCTCCTCCCCAGGACTATGATGAGTACATGCAAGATATCTTCCTCCCGTCCCCCTATCTGTGGCTCTGGGTTATGCATGTAGGGCAATCAATAATAAAGATGGTCCATCCATGCTTGGGTAGGATATGAGCCTTCTCTCTGAATAAACTCCTGAGATTGGCAGTCAAACTTGAAGATGATTCAGACATCTTTTCTCAACCTCAGTTCTGCATTTGTAGAATTTACTGTGTTAAAAAAAAAAAAGTAAAACATGGAGGTGTATGTAAGAATCTCCAGTCAGCACAAAGTAAAGTTGAGAGAGTTTCCAGAATACTTGAACACATGATTGCTAATCTTTAAGTTAGGTGCTGTGTATAAGGTACTAAGAGGAATACACACACACAGTGAGAGAGAGCTTTCAGTATTTGGCAAGTGAATGAACTGATAGAGTCGCATCTATTGGTGGCCTTTCCCATAGTGAATTCTTTTGAGTACTTGGAAAAAAAAGCCATTTGAGTAGTATTGAAAAAGGGAGACAGCTCAATGAAATAGGAATTAATTTTAGGGTATGTTTTCATTTATATTTGCTTTTAAAGTTGTGTACAAAGAATTACTCCTTTGACTAAGTTTTCTTACAGAGATTATGTGGGAAATGTGTACGACTAATTGAGAAAGAGAAGATCTGTATTATATTTAGTACAAATATTTTATAAGGATATATCTATAAAATATGTTAAGAAAATCTATGTGAAATAAGAGTCAGTATTCAAGTACTTACATTATATGTGTCTATTGAAAAGTGTACCTGATATTTAAAGGAAGTTAAACGTGTTCTAAAAATGAATATGTTAATTTGAAATAATAATGAAAATTGAAGCTTAGATTCTATGCTAAATTTAAAGAAGAGCCAGGTACAAGTTTTCTGCTGTGGATTTACTTAAATTTAGTCAGAGTTTTTCTATAGCATTTAACTTGTTGTTGTTATGTGCCGTCGAGTCGGCCCCGACTCATAGCGACCCCTCCTTGGGTTGCCAAGGCAGTATCACTACGGAAATAGATTGCCCAACCAGGCTTGGAAAAACCTATGGTCTTCCACTATTAAGGAATCTTTCCTGGGGGTACAAAATATTTTTGTGTCATAATAACCAGATGATTAATAAATGCATTTGTATGCTAAGTAATATTTTTTTCATTTAAGCAAGAATGAATCAAATTCATTTTAAGGAAATGAATTATTTCATTATGAAAATTACAGGATATACTAATTAAATTCTTTTTGACAATAACCTGTTTTAGGTAATATCCCCATCCCGACAAGGGTTCAGGGAAACTAAACGTATTCCTTCATTTCCATTGACACTGTATTTAACGCAAAATGGCATTAAGGAGAAAGACTCACAAAGACTCCCATACTCTTCAGGCCTGAAATTCTAAGCTCAAGAAATTTTCTGAGGAAACTGTTCATCAGAGACAAAAAGCTTATTGTACCATTGTCTATCATAGCAAAACATCACAACCATTTAAGTGTCCTATATTAGGGTTTTATTTACTAAATTGTATATATCAACAAAGCACAATACTGTGCAGTCATTAAAAGAAATCATGGAGACTGGAGAAATACATGTACTTTGTATGTGAATGTAGCTCTAACTCAAATAGCCCACACAGTATGACTGAAATTATATTTAAAACGTGTGAAAAGTAATATGAAAATACAATTGGGATTATGTTCGATTTCATATTTTTGTAAGTTGTTGATAAGTTACAATGCCTATTCAATTTTTTTTTAAAGACAGAAAATCACCTGCTTTTTATAGCCTATGAAATACATCAGAATTTTAGATTGCAAAATTTTAAAACAAGCATCTAGGATTTGGGGGGATTGAAAACTGGAATTGTTATATTTGTTTTATTAATAAATTCATTTTTTATTTTAAGAATTACATGGATTATTTATCACGTCTATATGAGAGAGAAATCAAAGATTTTTTTGAAGTTGCAAAGATCAAGATGACAGGGACAACTAAAGAAAGCAAGAAGTTTGGTAAGCTGAGGCACTGCAGTTCATTTTCTTCTTTTCATTTTAAAAACGGTTTTATTTATGACAAAAAAATTTCTAAGACTTTTTAGGGATGATGGAATAAGATACAGAAGTAATGAAAGAGTGAGTCTAACGATATTGCTTTGATTTTTAGGTGCTTCATAGAACAAATAATTATAACTGCCAGTGTGTTTTTTACCAATTAAAATTCTGTAGTCTGACTGACAGATACTCAGTTGTATATTCCCACTGTAATTAAAATATGTATTCATAGGGAAATCGGTTGACCAGAAAATGAAATGCAGCTGGTAGAGAAAATATTAGACTAAGACATGTTGAGAGTTCAGTTTCTGACTCCTAAAAGATCTGTTTATAACCATTTGGGGGCAAGTCACTGATCTCTTGAGTCATTGCTCTCTGCAGGGAAATGAAAGCGATTCCTGGCTTCTCTTTACTTCTCACTGGCTTTTTTGAATCAGAAAGAAAGCTTCAGTGTTTTCTCCCCTGCTAAGGGGCTATAGCAATATCACCCAAATTTCACCTCTGATTATATCTTATTTTTCCAAAGAGATATTTTTGAAGCATATTTTTTGTTGCTTCTAAATATGTTAAATGGGGAAAGCAAACAAACATTATTTGGAAGGATAGCCAGTGAAAGTATCAAGTTGTGAGGTTGGTGATTTGCCGAGGCCACATTCTGCTCTTGCATGTACCCATCCCTGGAGTTCCTTTTGGATGGAGTTCTGTGCTTAATCAAGTCAAAACCTGGCCTTAAATGGCTCTCATGTGTACTCCTCAGTGTGTCTGCATAGTTCCCCTTTAGAATAATGAGTTTAGCATTTGCTTGTTGAAAGGAGCCTATGCCCTAAGCAACTTCAATAATCAGGAAACAGGATTGAAAATTGTTAACACATATTCCCGTTGTTTTCTTTAGGACAAAGAAAACTATCTTAGTACGAAATTGTTTTGTCATTTATGGTTTTTTAAAAAATGCAATACTAATGTATTGGTTATACTTGTCCAGACATTTGCAGTGGTTTGCGTCTGTGAATTCAAATATCCTATACTTCGGTAAAGATGCTCATTAGAAATCTTGGGGCAATAGGCTGTTGGAAACAGAAATGCTAACTCATCCTAAAGGTTAATTGTTCTTAAACGGCACTGTGTTTATATCCCTGTTGATGTTTTCACTGTGGATATGTTATGCTTTTTTTTAGTAAACAGCATATTATTAATGCAGTTACATGTTTAATGTTTTCATTAAGTATATCTGTCATCACTTGTTAGTGAACCATTTTATTTTAGGAAAACTCTTCTTCAGTGTATGAAAAGTAGAAGTAAAAGGGAAATATTTTAAAATACCACCTGAGCAGGACATAAATCCCAGTAGCATAATAGTTTGCCAAGCCTAAGACCCACATTAAGATAAATAACATAATAAAAATACAATTTAAATCAAATATAATGTCTTAATGGTATCATTGCATTAACCTACTAGACATGTTTTTTTTATGTTTTCCAACCCATTAAGGTTTTTAATTATCTTGTTAAAAATATTTTTAATTAATATAATATAGGTTTAAAAGGTAGTTTATAATTTTAAAACAATTAAAATTTTATGTCATTTATATATGTATTAAATAATGAGATAAGGAATAGGAGAGTAATTTGTGTTAACTGATGACACAAGAAAATTACAGTGTCAGTTATTTTGACCTCATCAGATAAAAAAAAAAAACTAAACAGTAAGTAGAGTTCAGAAGATAAACAATTTTCAGTTCATCTTTGAAGATCTAACTCTATTAGTTAGTATTTTAAAGATAAAGCAAGATAAAAAGATAAATTCAAATGGCTTGAAAAGTTCTGAATAAGATAGAATGTGCATTTTTTAAAATTTAAGGTATATTTTCAATGATTGAAATTAAGTGAATTTTTAATAGTAATTATACTTAAAATAAAAACTTGAAATTTTAGAAAGATAACATTTCATTGAGTCAAAATTAAGTGATTATAAATAAAATTTATTTTGTTTTATACATGCTCTGGGAATTCTGGGTCATAGACGCTGATGAGAAGTGAAAGTCAGTTTGACTCTCCTATAGGGGAGATATTCAGGGGAGTCCTCATCTATTTTTGAAGCAGTGTTTATCTGTGTTGCCATCTTCAACATCTACTTAGTTCAAATAATCAAAGTAAATTAAAGGTATCTGGAAAGAATCCTTTCTTTGTGACAAGGTGTTTTTGTATATCATTTTATTTTATTTTATTAATTGGTCTACTTTGAAATCCTCAAATTTATGGGATTTTTCTATCAGAATTTATATTTTACTGAGGTTTTTTTCTTTTCCTCTGTATTCTAAAATATACTTAATGAAATGGCAGGCAAAAGGAATTTTTATTTTTAAAAAGAATAATTATTTTTAAAAGTAAGTTTTTTAAAAAAATATTCTCTGTAGCCAAATAGAACATATATATGATTTGATACATTTGTGTTGGGGGAAATATTGAATATGCCATGGACTACCAGAAGAATGAACAAATCTGTCTTGGCAAAAATATAGTCAGAATGCTTCTTAGGACAGAGGATGATAAGATTTCATCTCACCTACTTTGGACACGTTATCGGGAGGCACCAGTTCTTAGAGAATGATATCATGCTTGGTTAACTGTAATGTCAGTGAAAAAGAGGAAGACCCTCAAGGAGAAGGATGCATACAGAGGCTGCAGCAATGGGCTCTTTCTTACATGGTAACGATTATGAGGATGGTGCAGGACCAGGCAGTATTTTGTTCTGCTGTACATAGGGTCGCTAGGAGTCAGAACAGACTGGATGGCACCTAACAACAACAACAACATAAAGAGCCCTGGTGGTGTAATGGTTAAACACTCAGTTGCTAACCAAAAGGTTGGTGGTTGGAACCCACCAGACACTCCATAGGAGAAAGATGTGGCAAGCTGCTCCCATGAAGATTACAGCCTTAGAAACTCTATAGGGTCATTCTACTCTGTCTTATAGGGTTGCTATGGGTCAAAATCAATTCGACAGCAGGAAGTTGTTTATTATTTTACTAGTACTATATTCTTTATTGGCTACTAAGTAAAGATAACTATATGAAGTCTTGGCCTTTCTCTGGTATTGGAGAACATACCATTGTTGTTGCTGTTAGGAACTGTCAGTTAGTTCCAACTCACAGCAACCGTATGTACAACAGAATGAAACACTGCCTAATTCTGCACCATCCTCACAGTTGTTGCTATGTTTGAGCCTATTGTACAGCCACTTTCTCAGTCAGTTTTGTTGAGGGTCTTCCTTTTTTTGCTGATCCTCTGTCCTTCGCCAGAGACTGGCCCCTCTTAAGAACATGTCAAAGTAAAGAGTTAAAGGCAACAAAACCAAATACTATTACATACACAATTCTGTAATACTTAAAAAAAAAAAATGTCCAAAGTACATGAGACAAAGTATTGCCATCCTTGCTTCTAAGGAACATTCTGGGTATACTTCTTCCAAGAAAGATTTGTTCATTCTTCTGACAGTACATAGTTTATTCAGTATTATTAGCCAACACCATAATTCCAATACATTGTTTTTTCTTTGGTCTTCCTTAGTCATTGTCCAGCTTTCACATGCATATGAGGGGATTGAAAATACCATGGCTTGGATCAGATGTTTTTCAGTCCTTAAGGTGACACTTTGCTTTGTAACACTTTAAAGAGGTCTTTTGCAGCAGATTTGCCCAGTGCAATACGTCATTTGATTTCTTGACTGCTGCTTCCATGGGTATTGATTGTGGATCCAAGTAAAATGAAATCCTTGACAACTTCATTCTTTTCTCTGTTTATCATAATGTCGCTTATTTGTCCAGTTGTGAGGATTTTTGATTTCTTTATGTTAAGGTGTGATACATACTGAAAGCTATAGTCTTTGATCTTAATCAGTAAGTGCTTCGAGTCCTCTTCACTTTTAACAAGCAAGGTTGTGCAATTTGCATATCCCAGGTTGTTAATGAGTCCTTCTCCAATCCTGATGCCACTTTCTGAACATAGCATAGTGACACCTTAAGGTACTGTTGAAATGGCTAGCTGGTAGCTCCAACATGATCTCTGTTTGCCATATTGTTTGATATTTCCTTGAGTTTCAGGTGGCCATGGATGGGAGGATATACATGTCTCTGGTGTGACAAGTTAGTAGCTTATGCTTTGACTTTTGCCTTTTAAGTGTGGTTTTGTATTGCAGGGATAGTATCAGTTGACACATTGTTCTCTGTTTCAAAAATATTTTTAGGTTATACTTATAGTGTTCTTTAGGAGCTCTGGTAGCATAGTGCCTAAGGCACTTGACTGCTCACCAGAAGGCTGGTGGTTCAAACCCACCAGCCACTCCTCGGAAGGAAGGTTGGGCAATCCTACTTCTGTAGTGATACTGCCTCGGAAACCCAAGGAGGGGTCACTATGAGTCAGGGCTGACTCGACGGCAAACAACAACAACAACAACATAGTGTTCTTTAATTTTCTGCTTCATTCATTCTGGTTTTCTTCTTACTTTTCACATTAACTTATAATTTTAAGTCTAGAATATTTCAAAAGGTAATCTCTAAAATTTATATGATAAATATAGAGAAAAGTGTTAGAATAAAAGAAATGTCAAATGATAATACAAGAGCTCAGATTCTTTTATTATACCTGTTCCTTTAGTTTTACCCTTTCATTCACTCATCTGATAATTCATGTTATGATATATGCCTTTCATTCTAGGTGTTTACAAAGCTAGTTACTAAGTAATTCAACTTGATATTTAATTTTTAAATGGTTTTAAAGCCCTATTTCCATAATTTTATCAGATATAGTATGAAATCATTTATGACAGTGGAGATTCATTTCAGGGCATGTGAGACCACTGATACATTTAATATCTAAATGTACAGCCTCATTCTCATGAATTTCCACTGTATTAAATTGAATTATATTTCTCAAAATATTCTTTCTATATTCTATAGTTCTATTTAGTTGCAGAGAATAAACTTGAATTATATTTCTCAAAAAACTTCCAAATATAGTCTTTTAAACTTAAGTGTACTATCTTCATAAACTTAAAAAAAAAAAAAAAATCACTTAAATGTATATGGGTCAGGGTTACAAATACAGACATTTTTCCTGAATATTTAAGTTAAAAAAAAATGCATTAAAAGGCTAGTAAAGTTTTTTTCTCATAATTTCTCGAACAGTAGCTGGCCAACTAAACATGTGTTTGCACCTCTCATTACTCGATGCTCATGGTTCTTTGCATGTGTCTTTTAAACTAGAGCTTAACTTCCTCTTGTGCATGGTTTGTGCAAAATGCAGTTTATTAACTTGTCTTTGTCTTTGATGCTTGCAACCTAATCCATCACAGCTACACTGCCTCGAAAAGAAAGTGCTGTCAAACAGGAAACAGAGAGTGAGTATGCTTAGTGTATTAGTAGGAATTCTCAATGTATGTTTATTTGTGTAATGTGTAGAGATTAGTTCTTTGTCTTAAAAAAAAAAGTTGACACCAAAAATATTGATTGCTCTAAGTTTCCAGGTATTGGTGAAAGAAAACCAACACAATGGTAATGATACGGCTATATCTAAGAAATATGTACTGTAGTTAAAATTATGTCAGGTGGTAGAATATTGTGACAGAAATACATGAAAAGATTTAACTATTGTACTTCTATTTTCAGGCTGTGTTTAAAAACTCTTATAGATATGGTCAGATTTTACATATTGAAGCCAAAGTTTACCTTTCATTCTTCTGTTTTATCATCAGAATATATGTCCTTTTTGACTATCAGCAAATAATACAGGTTAACTGATAAATACTCAAAAAAATATTTATTTTAATGATTATTTATATTTAATTTTGAATAAAAGCATCACATTTTCTTATAAAAATAAGGCATTTGACTGGTAACCAGAAGGCTGGCAGTTCAAACCCACCAGCCACTCCTCAGAAGGAAGGTTGGGCAATCTACTTCTGTAGTGATACTGCCTCGGAAACCCAAGGAGGGGTCACTATGAGTCGAATCTGACTCCACGGCAGTGAGTTTGGTTTTGGTTTGAGTTCCTTAATGTATATAGGATATTGTCTGGCAACATCTCATTTTTCTTAATGGCTGTGATGGATAATACCTAAATACCAGACTAATACGGTTGGTGATGTTATGTGTTACATTTTAGTTTTATCTTAACTGTAACAGGTTTCCAGCATATTTTTTTTTTTTGTCTTTGTTTAGTTTTTAAAGAACTGTAAGTAAGTAGTTCAGTAATTATAAAAGCAGAGTCTCTGGCTTCAGGAATGTGTTAAGTTGAACCACAGGCAGTTGACTTTTTGATTCATCAAGAATGATCAAGTATTGTCGGTTTTGCATGGCTTAACCTATTATATTGATTTAATGTGGAGACAGTATTATTGGGATATGGCAGTTTTCTTGAGAAATATAACAGAGACATGTGAGTTCGTACACTAAGGGATCAGTGACCTTCATCCATATTCATGTCTTTTAAATGAGAAAGAAACCCTGATCTATTTCAGTCTAGAGATATCACCAGGCAGCTTTATCTTTTAATTGGCTTGGGCCTGCATAGACTATATTATCTTTAAGATCCCTTTCAGTCCTATTCTATGAATCTGCATTTTTCACTTCTGTTTACATTATGCTGAGAAGCAGGACACAAATGTTAATGAAAGATAAGAACACTCTTTAATGTGTCCCACATGGCAAATAATAGCTCACAAAGCCATAGAAGACCAAGACAGTGGAAGATAGGTGTGATCTATGCTATGAATCTTTTCTTTATGGAGGTCACAACTTTCAAAGTTTTATTATTTATCTTAGGTCTTCATGGAAGTTCTGGGAAATTAACTGGATCTACTTCTAGTCTAAATAAGCTCAGTGTTCAGAGTTCAGGAAATCGCAGATCTCAGTCATCTTCCTTGTTGGATATGGGAAACATGTCCACCTCCGATCTTGATGTTGCGGACAGAACCAAATTTGATAAGGTAAAGTAAAATAACAAATAAATACTTAAACATTAATAATAGTTTTCTTTCCTAGTAGCAGTTTGCTAGTGCTTTAAATGTGTTCAAAGATTTAGGCTCTGTTGGCTCTCTTAAACATTTACTTTCCAATTCTGAATCTGAAAAAGTATACTTGGTAAAATGGCAGCTGAAATGGGAATTACCAATTAAGTAACAAAAAATATTTATTAAAGCTCATTTGTTATAAATCATAAAGTGCTTGCATCTGAAAACTTAAGTTTTTTGAGCAACTACCAAGAGAAAATAATAGTTTTTGTAAAAATAACTCTTTGCATTGCATTAAATAATTTTTAAAAATTTATGTCCTTTTTCCAGATTCAAAGTGAGTAACAGTGAGTTTTATTTTAGGTATGTTCACAGCCTTGTTCTGCCTTGTTAATTCTACATTTTCCTATTACCTAGTCAGTCTTGGAAGATTTTGTCTTTGTAATTGTATTAAGATTGAAAAGTGAATTAAATATGGAATGTTATTTTGCACATTTAATGCAGTTCTTTCATTATAGGTTCACTTTGGTTTTCTTTAGATATTTGAACAGGTATTAAGTGAACTGGAGCCCCTGTGTCTGGCAGAACAGGACTTCATAAGTAAATTTTTCAAACTGCAGCAACATCAAAGTATGCCTGGAACTATGGTATGGTTCACATTTATTTTGAGTAGTATTATAATTAATATGTGGTCACAACTTCAATAGCATGACAGAAAGGAAAAGAGTATACAATATAAGAATTTTTAAAAGGATTTTTGTCATACCACAAGGGAATAAAAGCAATGAAAGTTGGAGTTTGGGGATCTAATTTAATATTCCAGAATGTCTTAAGTCTAAACTTTCTCTAAATCAGTAGGGGAGGGTGGATTTTAAAAAAAAAAAAAAGAAACATTAAAAGACTAATAAAATATTTTCTGCCCTGTAATTATTCATATATATAAATAGCTGACCAGCTAAACATATTAACTCTTGTTACTTAATGCTCACAGTTCTTTGAATGCATCTTTTAAACTCAAGTTGAACTTCTTGTGTATGGGTTGAGCAGAAGAGAGCTATTTAAATAGCAGTTTTCACATTTTAGTAGTTACTAAGAAAGAATATAATTTTAAAAAAAAAAAAAAAAAGATGGTTTTTGAGTGTGTATACCAAGGACTAACATAAAGATGGCCTGATGAGAATTCAAAAGATCTGAATCTTTGTTACAAGATTTTTACTAACTAGTTATAGGACTCAACACAGGGAACTCTGGTGGCGTAGTGCCTAAGGCATTTGACTGCTAACCAGAAGGCTGGCGGTTCAAACCCACCAGCCCCTCCTCAGAAGGAAGGTTGGGCAATCTACTTCCTTAGTGATACCACCTAGGAAACCCAAGGAGGGGTGGCTATGAGTCGCAATAGACTCAATGGCAATGAGTTTGTTTGTTTGTGAGTGATGGGACTTGAGGCCAATTACTTAATTCTTAGGTTTTCTCATCGTAAAATGGAAATTATAGTACCTGTTCCTCATGCCTGTGAAGTAGTGTAAGAGTGAATTGCGAGATTTGCTAGAATATTTTGAAAAACTTAAAAGCTTAATGCAAATTAAATGATTTTTGAATTAAAGTCATCTCATAAACTTATGCCTCAGGAAATAAACATTTAAAAGTAGTTTAGAAGGGAATGAGAAATTAAATGATGATTGCAAATAGTTGGCATTTATTATTAAGGTTGTTGTTGCTGTTGTTAAATTTACTTCCTTACTGGCCTCTGTAAGAATTTTTGAGAACATTTTTTTTTAATGCTGAAGTTCTGTTAGAATGGTTGTTGGCAATTTCCTTCATTTTTTAATTCTCTCCTGAAAGTTGTTACTAAATATTTTCTGTATTTTGTTAAGCGGCCCTATGTCTGCCTGCCTCACCTGAGCACCTTTGTGTCTCCCTCCCTTCTCCTTCCCTTCACATGTGTGCACGTACACACAGACACATGTACACACACACAAACGACTCCATCATAATCCTTGGATAAGAGCAAAGCATTTCATGAACATTCTTAAAGAGCATATTGAATTATATAGCTTTATCAGTAAAATACTACCTGTAAAAATCATTATTTTTCATAATGTATTTTCCCCTAGGAATTTTAAGACTGAGCAAGCTTTTGTTTTACAAACTAGTCAAATTGTTGGTCATTTGTTATGTAAAGTACCTGAATAATTTTTGCAGACTGAAGCAGAAGAGCTGGATGGAGGAACATTTTCAAGGCAACATAATTCTGGCACACCACTGCCTGTCTCGTCTGAGTATGTGTTGGTTATTACCTACTGTCTACTTGGTGGGGGGGGCCGCCTAGGTTGAGCATAGAATAGTGCTGCGCATTGAGGGGTCTGGATGTTTTCTAACCTGGCAGCACTCAGAGCACCAACGTGCACTTCTGTTGTCTTACTAAACATTTTACTGATGTAGTTAAAATTGGTCTTGTTTTATAGTTCTTTGGCTTGTCTTTGCTTTAGTAATCACCGAAAATGCAATTAATGCACGTTTGCTGGTAGGAAATAGCCTTTGAATTACAATGTATTTTTCAGAAATCAATAAGCACATTTCAGGACCCAGCTTTACAAATGATACGAAGTTATTTTAAATGACAAAACTTAATTTCAAAAAAAATTTTTTATATTGAAAACTGTTTTTGAGGGATTAGTTCATATCTGGATATTTTTAGTTTGAAATATAAAACGTTAGCCATTTTGTACGTACCAAGTGGGTTAAAGTTGAAGATGACTTCACCTGAAGATTATAACATTCTATATTTTATATGATTTCTGAACAGGAAGGATATGATCCGCCAAATGATGATTAAAATATTTCGCTGCATTGAGCCAGAACTGAATAACCTAATTGCATTAGGAGACAAAATTGATAGCTTTAACTCCCTTTACATGCTAGTCAAAATGAGTCATCATGTCTGGACTGCACAAAATGTGGACCCTGCTTCCTTTCTAAGTACTACACTGGGAAATGTTTTGGTGACTGTCAAAAGGAACTTTGACAAATGCATTGTAAGTTTTTAAAAATAATTTAGAATTCTACGTATTACCTAAAAAAAAAAAAGGTAAATGTATTTAAATTAAGAGATTTCTAGCTACCTACTAGGAGATCTGCTGTTCATGTCTCCTAAAACCTTGAAGCACAGTGTTGGCTGCAAGATATCTGAACAGAGCTAGTTTCCATTCTACTCTATGAATCTTGACAAATTCTGCAACAGATGGCATGGTAAAGCAGCTGCTCAGAGATCCACTAGGTAAATTACTGACACCTTGGTTTACTGACCAGTGACTACTGATATAATGGAACACTTGAAGCTATCTAAATTTGGATTTATTGGTGTTATTCCTTTAATATAGTCCAATAATAAAATTAATAATTGGGTTATTTTAATTGTGTAAATTATTTGATTATTTTAATAATTTATTTCAATTATTTAACCCATAACTATAATAATTGTATTGCTTTATTTTTAAGAATAAATTGTTCTTATAGGGACTTCCAACAATCATGATTATCTGCAATCTAATAGAAAAAAGTCATTAATAACTTTGTTATTATCTGTTAGCTTTTGGTAAGCCTGAGGATATAAGTTGAACTAGACCAAGTCCTAAAAAAAAAAAAAGTTTCATTTTATTAATGTACCTACTTTGTAAAAGAAGATACGTATCTTTTGAATATTTTTGTTCTAAGAAATGAAAAAGTAATCACTAAAATTGCTATATAACCTTTACTTTATATCCAGCTCTTAAACATCCATAGAGTAATAGGAGCTAAAAATATTAAGGTTAATTAAGATCTGTAATTCTTTATACTTTTAAAAAATAGTATTTATTGGGTTTTTTAATGCATAAAAACAACTTGTAAACTTAGAAACTTAAATGTCACCTCAGTATACCCATAACCACTGCCATCAAGTCGATACCAACTCATAGTGACCCTATAGGACAGAGTAGAACTGAGTTTCCAGGAGTAGAATTGATTTTCCAAGACTGTAAATCTTTATGAAAGTAAACTGCTTTGTCTTTATCTGGAGCAGCTGGTGGGTTCTAACCACTGGCTATTTGGTTAGCAGCCAAATGCTTTAACCACTATGCCACCAGAGCTCCTGTCACTTCAATAGCCTTAATCATCCTTCTCTATCAAATTATTTCACTCGGTACAGGTTTCTCCCACTAGGCGTAAAGTAGAGCATTCCTATGAAATCTGTCATAAGCCAGAATGGTGTAAAGCAAAGAAGCAATTGCCATTAATTTGTATGGGGAAAAGTTTGATCATTCCCAGACCCAAAAATAACATACCAAATCATACCAAGTAACACTTATACCTAAAATGCATGTATAGTGTCTACAGACACAGTTCAAAGCTATGGCGGCTTGATGCTGAGTGTGGCTCCTGGAGAAGGAGCTTCGTGATGTCACTCTCACTGCTCAGGGTGCATACTGCCTCTTTAATGGCTTGCTGCAAAACAAACACTGATTTCTTTTGGTTAGCAAAAACAGGTACTAATGTAGGCCTTTCATAAAAGCAAAGTGGTATTCGTTCAAAAAGCACACTTTTAAAAAGTGGGGATACCTGTATTTGAAATCTTATGAAAATTGGTCATTTACAGTTTTTTCCTATTATCCCCTGACTTCTTCAGAGATGGTGATTACCTGGAAGATCTGATTGTAGGCATATAGCCAAAAGGAAAAGAAAGAACTACCAAAGGCTAAGAAAATGAGTCCCATGTGACAGCTGGGACATTAAAACATGAGGGGATTACATATTTCTAGAATATAAAGGCTTAATTGCTTTTACTCTGGTAGTGCCTAAGGCACTTAACTGCTAACCAGAAGGCTGGCAGTTCAAACCCACCAGCCACTCCTCGGAAGGAAGATGGGGCAATCTACTTCTGTAATAATACTGCCTCGGAAATCCAAGGAGGAGTCGCTGTGAGTCAGGTCCAACTTGATGGCACGTAACAGCAACAACAGTAAAATACAACTTCATACAGTACCTCTCAACCCAGTGGGACACAGTTGTTAAAAAAAAAAAAAAAAGATATAGTATCAGTTAGATATAGACATGGGCTCAAATAAAGCACTTAACACATTCTTTGGAACAGAGGAATGGCTTAATGACTGATAGTAATGGTGGTGGTAGTAATAGTAGTAATTAATAATAGGTCATTAAAGAATGTTAATGGACAAGGTTAATGACATAACATTAACCTGGGAAAAGGCATAAATTAACATTTTCTCCTAAATTGCAAGTGTTTCTAAAGGACTTCTAGCCACTAAAGAGAAGGATGCTTCCTTCGGCTTCCTGCCATTCCTCCCTGTCTTACTTTAACTCAGGTCTTCTCGAGGTGTCCAGTAGATTGTATGTGCTCAGTAAGTGTTACATATTTTAATGTTTGGGGTAAGAGCAAGGCTTGCAGCATAAAAAAGTTCAAAAGTTAATGGATCTGTGTAGTGAGCAAAAAGCATGGATGTCATGTGGCTACAGAAAATGGAAAAGATAGCATCTGAGTTTGACAATTTCATCTGGTGCCCAAGGTCAACATATCTGGTATTCTCCAAAGAACAGGGCTAAGAAAGCTAATCAAGACTGAACTAGAACTAAAACTAGAAATTAACTTACACATCAAATACCACCAGGCTGGACCCTGCAATCCAGTACATTTCTTACCCTTGTTTGCTTTTCAAGATTGCTTACACTGTAGTGACATAGATTTGCACTCTTAAATCTTACGAATGATATGTTGTTGTTGTTGCCGTGGACAAAGGGCTGGTAGTGTCTCAGTTGGAGTCTTAAATAGGCTTAACTATATTCCTGTGTCCTTCTGGTGATGGCAATGAGTGGGCTACCAGCTGGAAATTAGGGGTACCTTCAACTTGAGAGAAATTTGGATGCTTCTGTCACAGATTGATTTTATTAGTGATTTTTCTTAAAGGAATGCATTCTTTCTACCCTACCAGTCACAAAGCCAGAGAGGGCAATTCTTATTTAGAACATTTTCTATTAATGTTCAGTTATATTCAGACTATAATTTGTATTTGTATCTTGTGCATTTAAATGCCACACAGAACTCTAGACTCCCTGAGAAGTATACAAAACCACAATTGTTTCATAATTGAGTGGATTGTTTGAATTCAGATGTCTAGATTCTGTCTGTATAAGCATGTCTTTTACACTTTACCACTGTTATGTGCAAGTACTTTCTTGCTGAACTAATTTAGAATAAGTAATAAATATACAGAAAACTAAATAATACAAATTCATAATAAAAATACTGATCCTTCCTGTCTGTCCTCATACCCACCCCAAAAAAAATACTACTACACAACCTGTCTATCCAAAAAGAAATTTTAGACTGGTAAGAATGGAATTGTCTGTGGTTCTCAAAAGTTACCAGATAGCCACCAACTAGAAATAGATGAGCGCCTTGTACTTACCTTTCATAAATGATAGAGATGTTCATTGATTGTTTTTACTTTGGCCAAAGACCTGAGGTTCACAAGTCTTGACTATATTGTTTTCAATAACTTGGGCTTTTTCTTTGATTTTTTGATTCTCAAATGACAATTAAAACAATTTTTTGTATTCTTAAATCTATAAAAGTAGTTTTTCTTAATTATTCCTGTTAAAATTCATCTTCAGTTAGTAAGCATCCAAAACATTCTAGGTTCTGAATTATATCCCACCTCTATGATGTATACATTTTATTATAATTATCTGTAGTGTCTAAGTTACTTGGCTATCTCTCTCCCTTGCTTTCTGCCTAACTTTAGAGTAACCAAATAAGGCAAATGGAAGAAGTAAAGATCTCAAAGAAGAGTAAAGTAGGAATTCTTCCATTTGTTGCTGAATTTGAAGAATTTGCTGGACTTGCAGAATCAATCTTTAAAAACGCTGAGCGCCGTGGAGATCTAGATAAAGCATACACCAAACTTATCAGAGGAGTATTTGTTAATGGTAAGCTTTGGTCGTGTCCTAAGGAATTTTTTAGTTGGTTGGTTGTTTTCATTATTTCTGGTCATTTAGAAATTGGGGGATACACATGCTCAATAATTCTATACAGTCTTTGTTTTGTAGGTTTTTGGAAATCAAAGATTTCTTAAATTCTGAAAACAAACAGTAAATACAGCCTTTTCTTAACCATAAAGAACCATTTATATTTTAAGTTGTATATGGGCATATCACTATATAAAATTGAAAATCATTTTTGAAACAAAAAATTGGCTTCCCAAAGTTCAGTTGCATTTCATAAGAGTCTTCTAGGAACGTTGGCAGCAGTGTCTGTCTGTATAACTAAACAAATCAGTTCACCTTTTTAATCCTCAATTTTCATACCTGTTACGTGAGGAAGTAAATTAGCTTCTTTATTCTCTTTGAGACTTTATTTAGATTTTAAAGTATCATTCACATTCCTCCAGTGGCAAATCCCACAATTAAGTTACAGAAATAGTTTGAACATATCATTTAATTGGAAACAACTGATCTGATTAAATATATTCAGCAGTTTTGAATGCTAAAAATGACAGAAAGTAGAATTGTCTCACTTAACATACTTTCATGGGAAGCAAGTCTAGGAAAAAGATAAATTTCATGATCAAATGTTTGCTTGATTTTGTGTGTGTGTGCGCATGTGTATACAAAGTAGCTTTTCTTTATTGGATTGTATAATTATATATATATATGTTGTTGTTGTTGTTGTTATTTGCCGTCGAGTCGGCCCCGACTCATAGCGACCCCTCCTTGGGTTTCCGAGGCAGTATCACTAC